GGGAGCTTAGTGCTTGGAAAAAATCTTTCATTCCTTTAGAGACAGCATGAAAAGTCAGCTGAGTACAAAACATAGAGAGGAAAACAAGAAGAAAAGGGACAAGAAGAGAGGGACACAACCTAGAACAGATAATGGATGTCTATTCTATTAACATTTCTCTATCTGGAGAATGGGGCTGTTTTATGTGTTGTCTTCTCCATTCAGAGGGCCCCCTGTCTGTCTTTGCCTAGGGCCCCAAATGTCCTCAATCCGCCCCTGTCTACATCCTATTTCAGTGCCAATATAAACCAACCTGAGTGTCACAGTCCAGAAGTCTGACTGATCGGTCTGTAACCTGCAGAAGCATCTCCTGGGTCCAGATCTTCCCCCTGGAGTCCAGAAGAATCAGTTTCTTGATGGCGTCGTCTATCGTGCTGATCGCTTCTGACTTGTCCATAACGAATGTTGAGAGATGCTGAAGGAGAAACACAGATGTTAGCTACTAGAAGCTGCAGCTAGCCAACAGAAAAGGAAGAAAACAAACGTTTGAGTCTTTTTATTGTTCATATATTTATAGAATTAGCTGGAACTTTATTTAAAAATGCTTTAAAGCTTATTAACTTAAAATAGTGCATCTAAAGCAGAGGTCTGGGATCCAGCTGCTATGGTTTAGCTCTGCAGTCTCTTTCATGAACCACACTTTAAAAACCAACATGTATCCCTCATAATCCCAGGATTATTATTCCAATCCTGGAATCATCAGAAAGAGAATCTTCCTGTTGGAATTCCTTTAAAGTTAACATTCATTTATAAAATCCTTCAGTCATTCAGGAAAATACTTTCCAAACTTAGAAGTCTGTCTCTGTTGGCCAGCGTCTCATTTTTTAAATATACTTTGTAAAAAGTCATTTCTCAACACGATTTTAGATTCCCAGATTGGCTCAGGAAAGGATGGATTAACGTTGCAGAACTTTAGATATTTATATTCCAAGATGACTTCATTTTACAGCAATCAATGTATCTGACTGAGATTTTAGGCCAAAGTACAGCAATAAATCATTACTATGAACATTTTGCTAATTTTAAGGCTTTATTATTGGCCTCCTGTAAATAATAATGTTCTATTATTATTTTATTATATCAGGGTTTGGATGGACGGCCTCTTGGTTCTGGGCCTTTTTAGTGGATTTATATCTTCTAATGTTTGGTGGTTTGGTAACCTGCCCAGCTTTAAACTGGTTTAACTCTGATCACTAAACCAACTGGTAGCAGTGGATCTTATCTGGAGCAGCGATCAAGAGGCTCTGATAAACACCGTGGGACACATATTACACTATTTCCTCATTTTTAAACTGTAAAATTATTAGATATTTACAAAAAAAAACATTTTCACACTTTAGATGCACTGCTTCTCTGGGCGACAGAGGCGTCAGATGTAGGAGTTCAACCTGCAACCGGCGGGTTGACGGTTCACCGGCTGGTTAACTGTCCTTGGGCAACACACTTCACCTGCATGGCCTACTGATGGTGGTCAGATGGTGGCGCCAGCGTTCCGCAGCCTGGCTGCTGGCAGTGAGCCCCACGGCAGCTGTGTGTAGCTCGCCACCATCAGTGTGTGAGTGAGTGAATAAGTGAGTGAATGATTGAGTGAGTGAGTGAGTGAGTGAGTGAGTGAG